CCCTTTGTTGTAGATCTTTGCAGTAGTTGTAACCTTCACACATACTGAAGTTCAGGTGGAGCTCTACAGAGTTTGGAGTTATCCAGCTACGTCTGGCTTAGGCCTGGCTGCTGTGCTCAGCTCCTTCCTGCTGCGGACCTGGGCTAGGACTGGGTCTGGGCTAGGACTGGGTCTGGGGGTTCCCGGAAGTCAGCCTCCTTTTCACTCTGAAGGCTGGAAATTTATGAATCATGTGCCAGACCAGTCTCCCAAGAAGTCTTTAAAAGAATTATCTCCAAAAAGTCAACACTGGGGCCGGGGAGATGGCTCAGTGGAATAAGCACTTGCCTGGCAAATACAAGGACCTGAGTTCAATCCCCGCAAAAAAAAAAAAAAAAGAAAAGTCAACATTGGTTTCTTAAAACTACATAGTCAGGTTCTCGGCCCAGCCGCCGCGGCCTCCTGCTTCAACAGTGCTTGCCTCCTTCTTCTCTTTAATGTATTTGTTACAGGATCTCACTACACAGCTCAGACTTATAGTGATCCCCCTGTTTACAGCCTCCCCAGCACAGGAATTACAGGAGAGCGCCCCCATGCCTGGTCTCTGTGGCTGGCTCAGCATGCTCGGGGGTGGAGCCAGTGCAGCATGGGGTGCCTGGGATTGAACCCTGCTTCCCGCACTTGCCTAAGCAGGTGCTTAGTCAGCTGAGCTATCTCTCCAGCTCTAGAGCAAACTTCCTAAGGTGAGCATTGCAGCACCTCTAGCCAAAGCCACAGGTATCTTCCAACCCAGCTTCAGAAGCCCCAGAACTTGGCTCTCTCCAGCGTCTGTGGGTCACCTGAGTCACAGTGGCCCACCCAGGTACAGGGAGGTACAAGAGGCAGATAGGTCAGCTCTCCTGGAGAATAGTGATGGCGGGTGTGCTCTCGACGGCAGCCTCTAGGACCCAAGTGCCCACACCTGGGATCCCCCTTAAATGGGGACAATAGCCTCAGTGTCTGGCCTGTAGGCGTGGTACATGGTGTGATGGTTAAGGAATGCTGTTGATGAAAACCTTTGTATAGGTTAAGCACTAAATCAGCATGTTAGCGGTACAGTTGAAAGTCTCCTATATGTGCAGGAAACATGTGATGCCTGGGAGAGCTGTGCTTATATCTTTTTTGGTGTCCTATCAGTTTTCTGTATTTTCTCTTTTATTTATGAGAAAAATACCAAATATAATGATCTTACAGTATCTTGAAAAGCAACCTATGCACTTAATTCTATTACTGTTATTATTTTACAATGTTTATTTTTCCTTGCTTTTACACTGTAATTGTAATGTACAAGCAATGCCATGTCTCCTTGTTTCCCCTTTCACTGTACCATAAGCTTTCCTCATGTGGTGGTACGCTTTGCACAGCTGTCAATTTTAATGTTCTTAGAACATTGCATAACCATTTTTCTGAATTGGCTGTGTAGGTCTCTTCTCTTTCATTGTGCGCTGATTTGTAATTATTCTTGCTGTAACTTAATGTATAACTCCAGCAGTCACCTGGAGGCACTGAAAGAGTCTGACCTAGATTCATGTTGTCAGTTTCATGTGTTTCCTCACTTCTCCATTCTCTCTGAAGCTGAACTTCCCCTAATTTTCACCTGAGTCAACTCGCTAATATCCCTGATCTGCTCCACTTACCCACTCACTTACCCCCTTTCTTTGTCTTTCCCCCTCATTGATTCTTTTCTTGCATTCTCCCTCATTCCCTAGACCTCCTTTCTTTTGCAAGTGTTTCCTAATCTCCTGTCTTTTATGTCAAGGAGTCTTTTTCTATGTCCTAAATAAAGTAATGTACGAGATAGTTCCCCAGTCTCTGTGAACCAGTGCTGTACAGAAAATGAAAAGGGAATCATGGTTAGAGGGTGTCTGTCATACAAAGAAGCAAAGGCAGTGCCTACATTACTCTACTCTAAAGTTACTACATTTCACTATGTAATTCATGGGTAATTTGTAGGAAGATACTTTGATGCTACATGAATGTCTTATTCCTCCTTGTACTTTCATATATTAATCTTAACATTCTTCAATAACATAATACCATCATTCTTGTGTATGTATTAGATGGTGTCCTACTCAAAGGAGTAACTTTGGCTTATCTCTCATTCATTCTTTGTTATATCATTATGGACTCATAGATTCTTGTTTCAATGAGTGAATTATGCTACTATCAATATTTTGCTTGATGATCAAATTATTCCGTGTTTGGCCAGAGCAGCCCTTTCAAGCAGACCACTGTGTTTTGATACGTTCTTGTCTTTCTCTGAGCATTTCCTTGTTTTGTGGTACATCAAGATATTCTAGTGTTGGGCCAGCGAGATAGCTCAGCAGACTAAGCACTTGCTTATAGGCAAGTGCAGGGACAGTGGTTTGATCCCTCTTACCACATGCTGCATCAGCCCCACCCCAGGGCGTGCTGAGCCCCTAGTCTTGGCATGATGGTGCACGCCTATAATCCCAGGGCTGGGGAGGCTGAAAGCAAGAGGATCGCTATGAGTCTGGGCTGCGTAGTGAGACCCTGTACCAAATACACACACACACACACACACACACACACACACACACACACACACTAAAGTTATAAGATGTTTCAGTATTAACAGTTTTTCCCTACCTTTTTCATTTTCCTGTTCTTCACTATATAGTTAGATATATGTGTAGATTTAGGAGAATATTTCCTTAGTCCGTGCAGAAAGTAGAACCTGAGCTGGAATGTGAGTCATGAGCATGTTGGTGGACAGGAAGTATGTGAGAAGAATGTAGGAGGAGAGAGTGATAGGACATGGCTGATGGCATGAGGGACTGGAGAGAGGGATGTAGGTGAACTTTCAAGTCATGCCTTCACTTTTGATATCAGTTTACTCTAAAGTAAATAACCTCAGGACAGTACAGAAGAGCTGCATGTAGTTAGGAAGCCCAGAAAAGGATGGGTGCATAGAACTGTGAAGAAATTAATGTGATATCTGCTCCCCTTTCTGCTATGAATATTGCACTGTTGTCTAGAACTTGAATGCTGCAAAATGGTCATGTCTTTCCCACAGGGTCACAGTCTCAGGGAAAGTCAGCCTTATACTCAACCGAGCCCACGATAAAAACCTGTAAACTCTCTTCTTGTGAGAATGCTGCTTCCTTCTTTCCCTGTAGGATATTGTCCATAGGATGGCAAGAAGAGCCCTCTGTGGGCATTGTGTCCTAGCTCATGTTGACAGAAGCATTCTGGGTGGCAGGGAAGTACTATAAGGATTTTACATGAATTGCCTTATATCATTTTACAGCCATTCCTATTAATATTACTAATGACATTGTAATTCAGTAGATGATGGGGCTAAGTCGGCTAACCTGTCCGAGATCAACAGCAAGAATGAGACAGAGGTAGGAATTTTTTTTATACTGGGGATCAAACTCAGGACCTTACACTTATGAGGCATGTACTTATGCTGCTTAGCTATCATCCTAGAGGTAGGATTTGAACTTGTCTGCCTCATTCTGAAGACTGGACTCCTAACCACCAAGTTCCCATGGAATGTAAGTGAGGGGAATTAATTCAAATTTCATTTTGCTTGATCAAATTATTCCATGGAATAATTAATGGAATCTAATTATTCCATTAGATTAAAGTGTCATAGCATTTGGCTATCTGTGTAGTAAAGGGTTAGGTGAAGAGGTCAATTATAGTGCAAAACTCTGCTCCAGAGTCTTGCCCTTCCCCTGTTACTCCTCTGATCATCGAAACCCCTTATTGTTCACCTTTGTTTACACCTTCAATTCAGTTCTTGGTGGACTCAGAGTCCTTCTGTCCCTTCTAAGTATAAATGTTATTTGTTTAGTGTTGGAGGGAGTTCATTCTTTTTGTTTATCATGATTTTTAGTAAATGTTCTCTTTTCTTCTTGGTGGGGAGACAAGACACTTCCCACCATCGCCTTCCATGACAGAACATGTCTTAACCACATGATAGAACCTCCAGGAAAACAGCTTCCAGGTGCCTTCTGTAGGCAAATACTGTTCCTTGTTTCATCGGCGGCAGTTTGGTGTTGACTCTCTTCATGCCAGCTTGTGACCAAATCTGAATGGTTACCAGCCTGAGTCTCGCAGATGTGAGCCAGGGCAGTGATTTCTACTGTCTGGAGGGACCGTGTGTGTGTGTGTGTGTGTGTGTGTGTGTGTGTGAGAGAGAGAGAGAGAGAGAGAGAGAGAGAGAGAGACAGACAGACAGACAGACAGACAGACAGAGACACAGAGACAGAGAGACAGAAAGAGACAGAGATAGAGAGAGCAAATAAGGGCAGGAATAAAGAAATGAGATAAGTCTAAGCTTCTGACCTAGCATTTCTGAAAAACCATTTCTTGGTTTATCAGGTTAAAATTTTGGTGATTAATCAGGTTGAAAATTGTTTAGCTCATTGTTATTACCCTTGTTATTACCCCTGTGATGTGCCCACTCACTTCCTCTTTCCCTTTCTCAACAGGCTGTGAAGTGCTGACCAAACTTGATTTGACCGTGAATTTCATTGGAGAGCTGAGCAGCATTAAAGCCCTGACCCACAACATCCACCTGAAGGAGCTCTTTCTCATGGGCAACCCGTGCTCTGACTTCCAGGGCTACAGGCCATTTGTGGTGGCCACACTTCAGCAGTTACAGGTACACGTCTTCTAAGGCTGCAAAAAGAAAACACAGACAGACAGACAAAAAAAAAAAAAACAAGCAATGCCCTGCATTGGTAGGAAATGTGGCTGATTCTAAGCTTACAACTCTTGCTTTGCGTTGCCAGGGTGGGGTAGCGTAGCTCTCACAGGCCAGATGCGGTGCTTTACCTCTGTGTGCTACACTCAGAGCCCTGGCTTTGCTGTGTTTGTTTCATTTCTAAGACTCACCGTGGTGAGGAAGTTGCGGTTAAAACTGGTTGAAAAACTAAAACTTACATAACATAAATGTCACAATGTGTATCTGCTGAATCTAGTAATTTTAGAATCTGGGCATAAAAGGATTTCTAGATCATCAAAGCAGTTGTGTTCACATTCGCATGAGTCCAAGGGTTCACCCTTTGCATGTGGCTCTGTGCTTCGGTGCAGACAGTGTGTGGTGGCAACAGCTCTGCCGTGGGTGTGTTCTCAGTTCTCACAGGACATTTGCTTCTTGGACTTCTGTGTCCTCCATAGTTCGCAGGTTGTTGACTACTAGCCTAAAGGAGCAAAATGTTCCTAATGTAAAATTTCTTAGATGAAGAGAATGACTGATCCAATTGTGAATCAATGATCAACTCTCTCAAACGTACCCAAGACGGATAACCATTGTAAACAGATTCCTAGAAAATGAAAGGGCAAGAACCGGAGCATCGCAGGAATGGATGCTATAGTGTTCCTCTGACAGCTGTGATCTCAGAATGAACCACTGTCAGGGATACAGTGTTCAGGGTCAAGGTTGCAGGCATCATCTGAGCAGCAGGAATAGGCTGGGTAGAGCCGGCTGCTCTGTGCACAGCACCCTTGCTCCTTCCAGACCCCTGTGGGAAGCAGTAGAGGGTATTCAGTGATAAGGAATTCGGAGCTCAGAGATGCACCTGATGAGTGGGACAGATACAAGTTCAGCCTTCGTGTGTCTGGCTCTAAGCCTCCAACCTTCCCACTATATCCACACTCACTGCTTGTTTCTGCATTAATACACCACCCTTGGATTACATTTTTCCTTTCAGAAACACTGTGCTAAGTCAATTGTTACAATAGGCAACAATCCCCTTTTGTGAAACAGTATTCACAAGTGTGTTAATCATATTGAAACTGGGTGGATAAAACTGGGCATGGTGGTGCATCCCTGGAATCCCAGCACTCTGGTAGGCTGAGTGGAAAATCTTAAATGTGAACTGAGCAATTGAGCAACTGAGCAACTTAGTGAAATCCTGTCTCAAAACTTAAAAAAATAAATAAAAAGGGTCGTGGGTGTGGCTCAATGTGAAGGCCCTGGGTTCAATCTCAAGTACTGGAAAAATACAGATGGATAAACTTTAAGATTTTAATTATCATTTCATTGAAAACTTGTGACCTACTTGTTCATAGACATTATTTTCCTAGGGCTATTATGAAAAAGTACCATGAACTAAATGGCATAGACGACAGAACCTTGTTACCTCCTGGTCCTGTAGCCCAGATGTTCAAGATCAAGGTGTTTACAGAGCTGTCTCACTCTGAGGGCTGTGAGGGAGAATTTGCTCCTGGCCTCTCTCCTGGCTTCTGCCATTTGTTGCAGGCTTTGTCATCTTTGGGCTTGTAGATCAGTCACTTTCATCTCTGCCTTCATTTGTACATGGTGTTCTTGGATGTCTGTCCTTTTATAAGACATTCCCTCTGTAAAGACATCATGCAAATTAGGGCCCCTCCTCCTCCAATATGATTTTGTCTTGATGGGTGTAGACACATTATAGGTGTAGACACATTACACCTTCAATGTGTCTACTTGCAGATAAGGTCTCATTGTAAGGTCCTGGGGGTTACAACTTCAATTAGTTTTTGGGTGAGACCTTTATAACCCTTAACTACAGAATAGTGACTGATTTTAGACAGTCATGGTAAAGAGGCATGAGGAGCCTCAGCCCCTTTCACATGTTCTTTTCCTAGTGCCTAGCTGCTGCAGGTGGAGAGTAGCACTGTGCTGTAGTGAAGAGAAGTGGAGACACACAGGGTCTGATCCACGTTTCTACTACTTATGAATCACATACCTCATTCTACTCAGTGCTAATCAGATGCTGTTCCTAGTGGAGTTTTGTGAGGCCTTAAAGCAGCTTAGATTTTTCTTCTTTATTGCAGCCCATGTAGAATTATTAAGAATAGACTCTGCTTTGTCTCTGTTTGTTTTTTGTTTTGTGGAAGCCTGAGTAAGGTGCCATCAACAAACATAAAGTGCTCACCTTCAGATTTCATCTGTGCTAATTAGGCCTTGTATGCTGAAAGAATTATTTTGCTTTGAAAGAAATTAAGGCCTGTTTGGAAGATTACCTAAGAGTTATCATATAAACCATTTCTTAATATGGTATCTTTGATCTGTAAGGTAATAAAGGGATCATTTTTGATTTGTAATAATCTATCAGAAATGCAGGAATGCCTTGCCCCTCAAGTGCTTCTGTTCATGAACAGTTCAGTGCAAACAGACACATTTGGCAAGATGTTCCTTCATTGGCGAATTCCATATTTGGTGGCAAACACAATTGGAGCCATCTTCCCCACATGACTACAAACACAAGTATAAATATAGCCATCTTCCCCTAAATCATGGAATGAGTTAAATGCGTGAGCTGAGGTACTGCTGTAGGAGGACTAATCAAATCAATCTTTAGATCAAGTATAAAGACATTTTGTTAAGCAAACGAACCCACGCATGCATGCACTCCCCATACAGGTAAGAGAATAAGAACTTGCTTCCCACTTGTATTAGAGTTCCTGGAGGAACACATTCAATGTAAAGTATGCATATAATGACATCAGGGATTTGTTAGGTGGGCTTACAGAGCCAGAGGTGGAAGTCTTCTGTCTGCAGGATAAGAGACCAAAGAGTCCAGAAGGCCCCACTGTGCGCTGGAAAGCTAAGGATCCTGCAGCAGTTGGAGGCTGAAGGTCTGTAAGATCCCTGCGCTGCTGGTGGTAAGAATCAGCCCCAGAAGGCAGAAGAGCCCACCCCGGAAGGCGGAAGAGTCTCCCTCGGAAGGCATCTCCCTTGGAAGGTGGCAGAGTGATTCCCCCTTGGAAGGCGTTGGAGGACCTGGAGGCCAGTGTTCGAAGGCAATGCAGAAGACCAGAGCTCCTCCAGAAAATGGAAACAGTTCCTTTTTCTTTCCCTTTTTATTTCATTGGAGCTACAAGTCTATTGGTTGGTGTCAGTCACATTCAGGGTGGTTCTTTTTCCCTGTTGGCTGGCCAACACGACAATCTTGCGCACACACCTAGAATTTACTAACCTGCTGGGCAGTTCTTATTCAAGTTAACATATCATAATGTCAACTGGACAAACACACATCTCCGTAAGTCTACCTAACCTTACAACACAATAGCAAGTTCATAATTACACTTTACTTGATACATCTCCTGTATACAAATGAAAACTACTTCCCACCCTAAAATAGGTAGCAACATTTTTCTTTAGCTAGCTCTTACTCTACTCCTAATGCAGTGATGCAACAGTTCACAAACACTTGTTTGCAAAAAATATTTGTTCATAAGCAGAAGCATTTGGCAGTATTTTGTTTTAGCCTGCAGACTCCATCAGGTGACCAACACAACTGTGGCCATCTTTTTCAAAATTGTAGAACAAATTAAGTTCATAAGCCACATATAAGATTTCATGCCACTCTTTCATAATTTAATATTATATTATAGGTTTGACACTACTTAAAGACCAATATTAAGTTAATCTGCATTATGTCACAAAGAAAACAAAGAAACCTATTTAATACATGTGTAAGAGGCTGGGAAGATGGCTCAGTAGAATAAGCTCTTGCCTGGCAAGTGCAAGGGCCTAAGTTCAATCTCCAGTTCTGGCAAAAAAAAAAAAAAAAAAAAAAGAACAGAATATATGTGTACGTGCATACAAGCATATTAATAAAGTAGTAAAGAAATACTAATGACAAGTCAAACCCTGTTACTGTAACTAGTCACATACTCGTAGCTGGCGTTTGTGACTGTCTTCACCTGTTCTCTCCATTCTTTACCCCTTGGCCTTCAGCAAGCATCTCAGTGGCTCTTGGTTCTCTGCTGTCTGCATTTCTGTCACCATTCTAGCCTCCTGCAATCCAACCACCATCTACTGTCAATCTCTGTTTACAGCATCCTAGAGTTTCTCTGGCATCTCCAAACCTTTCCAAAATCTTCCTGAAAAAAAGTTTCAAAGATTTTAAAGTTGAGGGACACTGCATATCTAAACCACAATTCTAATGTTCAACAAAATATCAAAAGAATTTCAAAAGAATCGGGATTTATCCCGAATTTTTCAAATTTATGTATATTTGTGTAAGTTACTAAGTTAACTTGACAACTTATGTGTATTATTTTAATAACTATTGTTTACATATATTTGTTATGAGGTTTTCATTTACATAATAAATCTCATATTCAAAATTTTCCAACTTGATTAAATTCCAGTAATTCTAAAATTAGGTTAATTTTGCTATGGACAGCACAATTAGTTATTACTTTACAAAATACATTTTATCACTATGGTCCCATCTTTCACTGAAGATGGTAAAAGAAGCAAGCTCATGCAGTCTGTTACTCCTATAGGAAGAATGCAAGACATGCACGTGCAGGGTCCTGAGTTCAATCCCTGGACCCCCCCCCCAAAAAAAAAAAGAAAAACCCAGAAAAGAAAAAAAAAAGAAAAAGAATGTAAGACATGTTTTCTAAGATCTCCATTATAATATTCTATAAGTATGTTATAGATCTAGATACTGCATTAGAAGAGAGCCAGACACAACTACAATTTTTCATTGAAGACTGAAAGTTCTGTGACTGATCCTGTCTTCCATTTGGCTTTGGCTGCCAGAAAGTTCTGAACCAAATCTCCATCCCATCTACAGCAGCTTCATGAGTTACTAAAACATTTGAAATTATTTTTTCAAATCCCCACATTATACTTTCCATGTACAATTTAATTTATCTGAATAGGTTTAAATTTGTAGTTTAATGTTTTTTTCTATCATGTTCATTTTCTATTGCTGTTATAACAAATCAACACAAAGCGGCTTAAACAAATTTATATTTTAGCTCTAGAGATCAGAAGTCTGAAACTGTTCCACTGAGCAAACATGAAAGTATTTTGTTTGGAGGTGCTAGGGGAGAATCCCTTCTCGTGCTTATACCTCTGGACTTTAGGCCTCTGTCTCAATTTTGAAAGCCAGTAGTGTATTATCATATCAGCTGGCCCTAACTCTGACACTAATCCTTACGCCTTTTTTGTTTTCTTATAAGGAAGGTTATGATCCTTATCAACATCACCCTGATTGACCATCCTTAACTTACACATGCAAAACTCTCTTTGCCATGTGAGATAATGCTCTTAGAGATTAGAAAATGGACAGCATTAGGAAACCATCATCTAGGGCTGGCCAGACAGGTGGATTAAAGCACCTGTTTAGGCAGATGCAGGACCAGAGATTCAATCCCCTACTTGCTGTGCTGGCCCCACCCATGGGGTACACTGAGATAGTGACTGAGACTGAGCGTGGTGGTGCATGTCTGTAATCCCAGTGCTTGGGAGGCTGAAAACAGGAGGATCACTGGGCGTCCAATCTGGGTCGTGAGACCCTGTAGACCCTGTACTAAATACATACAAACTTTTTTAAAAAAGAGTAAACTAAGAAGCCAGTTAAATAGCAGTCGTCCTAAAACTGGTAGCTTTGTGATTTTGCATTTAGTAGTTTTAATATTTAATTGAGAAAATTACACTATCATAAAAATATAGATGTCAGTGTTGACTGTCACAATTTCAGCACACTCCATACATCCTGTTCTTAAGGATGGAACTTGGGCTTATTTGTATTAGAGCTCACTCTTTGTGAGATTCACGGCCCTTTTCAGTAGAGAACATTTGGATGTGCTGTTATCATACTTTAGAAATAGATTGTATTGAAGCATTGAATTGCTTAGTACAGTGAGCAGTTAGAGAGTTCATATAAAACATTTCATATTCATATTTTATATTCATATAATATGCATAAAGTTTATGTTAATTATCAGCTTGACAGAGGCCTATTTATTATTAGTAGGAAAGTATCTTTGTAATCTAATCGCATGATAATTATATGAAATGAACATTGATTTAGGTCAATGGTCCTGCTATTTTCCATTAATTATCCTGATTCTCCATCTGTATGGTACTGTATTGTTGTTTCTAAATTTAAAATATTGCTGACTCATGTATACTGCTACTTTTGAGTAATTATACTTTTTGTTGTTTATTTAAGTGGCTGGATGGGAAAGAAATAGATCGTTCAGAAAGGATTCAGGCGCTGCAGAACTACCCAGTAGTTGAAGAGCAAATCAGAGAGCAGGAAGAAGCTTACCTCCTCAGAAGAGCCAAACAGAAAGCAGAGGCTCTGAGACAGCTTGCGGAGGAGGGTGGAAATGGAGACCAGAAGCGGACGGACAAGCTGGGCCTTGGTGGGCGGCCCTCTGCAGACAGCCCAGCGACACTGTGCGTACGTCGTTAGCGCTAGTCTACCGACTTTTTATGTTTTAAATGAAAGAGCAAGTTGTGTTTTCTTTTTTTAAATTAATTTTATTGAGAAACAAGTAGCAAGGAGACAACTTCAAGACAGATTAGTAGGACAGTTTCAATAATTAGTACATTACATATTGTTTTCTTTGTAGTAGTTATTCATAGTACAAGATGCAGACATGATATCCTGTCCAAACACTATTAGTACAAATCCTTCTTCTCATTGAATTAAGAGAATATAGCTGTATATCTATCCTAATTATTTTGTATATACAGATACAAAATGGTCCTTCATTTATATCCCCTTTTTTGTTTAGTTTTGTCAGAGATGGGTATTCCATTGTCATTTAAATATTGTAGGTTCGTGAATTCAGCAAAATAATCCAATTTAGTCCAGTAGTCCGTAATAGTAATGGGTTGTTGTATTTTCTTCCCAAGATGTTCACAGTATCATATATATTCTGGAAGATTCATTTGAAAAATAAAATATGGTGTAAATTCGGGGGGGTAAAATATGACCATTCTGTTGTGATAATTTTATCTTTTTTAAAAAAATGCTTCTTCAATCCAAAGATTTTAATTTGCAACTAAAATTATCACTAGAGAAATTTGTATAAAACACATACAGGAAAGATGAATTAACAGGTGTACTTTGATTTATAAAGTAGGCATTTTAGAAAAGTTAAATGCACTTCACATGATTATAAATTGAATAATTCTGATTCCATCATAAAACATTCTATTTTCTGAATTATATAATGAATAAATCTTTAATATGATTAATAATCCTCTAATTCATCCTTTTTGTGAATCTTAATTTTTCATGTTTTGAGTAAATTACAGCTAAACTTGGGTGATTTGATTGCATAGAATGAAACCTTTAAATATCTATATTATACAATCACTTCAAAACAATAATCATAAAATAATTCAGGCATACATAAATCTTTAAATGATAATTAAGTAGGCAGCTTTTTCCCACCTCCCAGATATATGATGAGCATTTTTATTTTTGCTTTAGCCCTTGAAAAATAAGATATAAGATATAATTAAGGGATAGAAGCCCATTGGGTGGTTAGTTCTCCGTATACTCTTCCTTCCTTCAGCCTGAGAGGTTTCTGGCGTCCTGAGGCCTGTGTGTACTTGGCCTATGTTCACCCCATCCCTAGGGTTACTGTGCAGCTGCCGCTCCTTATACATGAGCAGTGCATTTGTGTATGTGCACACGTTCAGTGTGGATAACGTCTGCTGCCTGCTTCATTTTTCATTCACTGTTTTTGGGGATTTCTGCATAAAATTACATATATAACTAATTCATTTGCACTGTGGAATAACATTCTATTGAATGAATAACAATTATTCCAAAGATGATATTCAAGACACTTACCAGACAAGAATTCATTGACCTTGGCTCCTCAGAACTTGTCCCGGGTGTAACAGCTTGGGTGGCCCCAACGGTGGGAGCCAGCTAACCAGCCCAGGAGCAGCCAGGCTTCTGAGGATGGCTGTTTCTGTGGTCTGTTCTCTCTCGCTTTCTCAGGCACTGTTGCATGTGTGTCTCCTTGTACACAAATGAGTGTTCCCATCTAAAGTGACTGTATCAGCAACATTGCTATGTCACCAATTGTGACATCTTCATTCATTTTTTTGTGTGTGAGACATCTTTTTAGCTTCATAAGTATTGTCAAATGTTTTCTAAATTTATATTCATGTATCAGTAATACAGAAAAAGTCCCAAAATACAGTCTTTAAAAGATATCAAGTAACAAAGTTCGTTGTTAAATGGCATCTATTTTTATTTAATTAGCTTATATGTAGGTAGGTTTGAGTTTAAATACCTTAAATGTATTCTTAAGTATTTATTGGCTATTCACATTTGCTCCATTCAGGTTGTATACTTATTTTTAATGACTTGTAGAGCTTTTCTTATTGATTTGTAGGGGTGTTTTTGAGTTCTGCATACAAATTCTTTGATGGTTACATGGTTTGTGAATGTCTTCTCCAAGTCTGTCACTTATCTTTAATTATAAGTGCTTCTATATTAGAAAAAGCAAAAATAGTAAAACTTTTTGGTTTTGTTTATGTGATTAATCATCATCCTAGGGTCATATCTATCAGGAATTAGCATTTGTCAATGATAGAGGGTACAGTGTTATTGGTTTTCAGATGGGAAGCTCCTTGTCTATACCTTGTATTAAGTTTCTGTTCTTTCCCTGCTGATATGAAATGCCTCCCTTGCCACTTACCTTCTGAACATGTATTTGTGGCTCCATTTCTTGGACCTTAACTGCATCATAGTAGCCCTTCTACTTGGTTTTAATTTCTCTAGATTTATAGTAAATCTGGGTACTTGGTATAATACCTTCTAATTTTTTAAAATTATCTTGGTTATTCTTTATTCTTTACTCTCTTTCATGAATTTTAGAGTCCACTAATCAAATTTCCTAAATCTCTAATAGAATTTTGGTTTCAATTATGTTTAATTTATATGTTAATTGGAAGAAAGCTGACATATTCATGCAATCTTTTTTTCCCCTGAACTTTGGAATAGCTCTTTATTTAGATCTTCCGAGTTCTTCAATAAGGTTTTTAATTTTCCCAATAAAGGTCTGAGGCCATCTTTCATTAAATTTGTTTCTAAGAATCTTGTAGAATTGGATTTTAAAAATATACATGGTTGTTGCTGATGTTTAAGGAGGGGAATGATTTCCATATACTGACAAAATTAAGCAATCTTACTGGCTTTCTTAAAAGATACAATAGTTAGCCTATAGATTATTCTGTGTTTTCTATGTAAAAAATACATTTCTTATAAATAGCAACTTCAAGTTACTTTGCAGTCCTGCCACCACTGCATTTTTTTCATGCTACTCACAAAGTTACTCAATATGAACCAGAACAGCAGCTGTAAGAATGGGTCCCTCTCATATTCCCGACATAAGCAGTGTTTTCAATTCCTCATCATGAAGTATAAGGTTTACTATGGAGTCTGGTAAAGTTAAGTAAGTTTCCTTCTGTTGTCTTTTGATAGTTTTAATCATCACATTTATTGGATTTTATTAAATACTTGCTATTGATATGTTGGATCATATTAATCAATTTCCTAATATTACAGTATTCTTGAATTTCTAGACTGAACCTACTTTGTCCATGATACATTTGTTAATATACTGCTATGTTCTTCTTGTTAGTATCTTATTTATAGTATTTGAACATAGGTTTATAAGTGAGTTTATGCTGCTCTATCATTTTTACTGTATTTTTTTCCTGGTGTTTTGCAACAGGATGATGGTGGGCATGGGAAGTTATTGGGGGTCATCTGTTATTTTTTGTTTATTTATTTATTTTTTTAGCAGAACCAGGGATTGAACTCAGGCCCTTGTACTTGCCAGGCAAGCATCTGTTAATTTTGGCTTTTAACAGTTTACGCAAGTTGAAAATCTGCTCTTCATATTTTAGTAGAGATTTATAGCTTGATTCCTTGTGGTGTCTTCTTGCCTGCCCACAGGTCTGGCTGGTCATTCAGCACACACTGCCGGCACCCCAGCCAGCCTATGTGAACAGAGGCCCAGATGATCTGGGGGAGGCAGTGAGCTAGCGAGGGCATTGACTTAACTGGGGGACATTGAGAGACCTTTCAAGACTGCAAGATGAACGAGCACAGAGATTAGGAGACCACAAGAGAGATGGAGATGAATATTTCACTTTGCAGGTAGACAGAGCCTGCTTCCATCCTGGAGAACGGACAGAACAGAAGGGAGCTGGAGCAGCCCGGGCTTGGATTTAGGGGCAAGTCAGAAGCCTCAGTAAACTGCAGATCTTTGAGTGTTACAAGTGAATTTTAGTGGGGATAAGGATGCTTTTGAAAGTGTTGTAGGACTACAGGATCTGTTCTTGAGGGGGAAGAGGATGCTGGGAGCAGGGCTGAAGGCAGTAATTGAAAAGGAGATTTTGTGGTTGTTTAAATGCTAATGGACATTATTTTGTCAGCCAGCTACCTATATTTGTGTCCACTTTCCCTTTGGAGATTTATGTTGCTTAGCTTATATTCCTGGCAGTTTTTCTTGAGTAGAGTTATTTTTATTTTATTATTATCTCAAATTGCAAAAGGTAAAAGTAAGCCAATTAGTTACTCTCTAGGAAGATTTCACTTAATGAGAATGGAATCAATTATTTCAGTGGCAATTAGCTAGAATATTATAGGTCTCCTTCATACATTGTTTTTTCAATACCATAAGGAACTAGAGTTGCATGGTAAAGCATTTATTTTCAGTAATTTGTGTATTTTATTTATGAAAATACCTAGGTAAATTAATATTTTTATATATGCATAGATATATACTCGAAGCAAGATTTTATTTTAAGTCATGTCATTTAAGTGTAAGATTTTACTACTTTTTTGGCCATCACTTGAAAAGCATATTTTTTGAAGATCAACTAAATAAACCTTTTCTGTTACCTCCTATGAGTAATGCCACCAAAATCTGACATTTACTGAGTGCTTACTCTCTGGCAGACTTGGTACTAAAGGTGTCATGTACCTATTTCATTTAATGCATTGTCTAACAGAGTGCATATTCTAAGAAGATACTTGGAAGGGGAACAACTATACCAAATAGTTACTGTTTGAATCTTATTGACAAGCAAATCAGAGAGCATTTTGTCCTGCTGGAGTACAATCATCCTGTCAAAAGTGGTGTCACCGTCTTTCTTGATCAGGATTCACTCTCTGATGCCTGGCATTTAGAATATACTCAAAAAATATTTCTTAAACTCATGTTGAATGAATATGGAATATTTCATATAGTACTCATTCAATGATGTCTACATACATCATTTAATTTTTTGATAGTCAATAAAAAACAAGGATAAAAGAGAACAGAAAACCATTACAAATATTAAGGCTACATAATTAGTAATTAACTATGAAAAATAAAATTTGTAAAAGCCATACTGTGGAAGGTCTGCATTCCACTGGAAAGTTTTGGAGGAAAAGAGTTAAAGGACCTGAACTCCTTAAAAGAGTTCATTAAAGGACCAGAAAGTGACATGACCGAGTGAGCTCACCAGAGCCAGCACTGGGAGCAGTGTAGACAGTAAAACCGGAATAGACTGGAAATGGATTGCTAAAGTTCCAGGGTCTCTTTGCTCATCTGATCACTAGAACCCCCTACAGAATAATGCATGCACTCCCAGGCTCCACCCAGATCTGCTTTCTGATGGGCTTAGAGGAAACTAACAATTATAAGGCCCCCCAAGCAATGCATATCATCCAGGTCTGTGGATGGGCCTGTCAGTCAATACTGCACTGACAGGTTGGGGGCCTGCTTCAGTGCTGCTGAGACAGCGATTTTCTCTAGCTTAGGTCTCCTGATATGTACTTCATTTCTGGCACCTATGCGTGCATGCGCGCACGCGCACACACACACACACACACACACGTTTATATATGCATATATGTGAGGGTGAGTAATGTATATTATACCACGCTTGAAGCCAGAATAACAGCTCACATGGATATTCAGAAGCATTTGTCATTCAAAGGTAGGAAGTCAGTCTACGGAAACTATGAGATGCTTAAGGAGAAGTACTAAGGATGACACTCGGGATCTTATGTGTTCTGTGTCTACTTTTTCTGTAGCCCATCTTCTTCAGAGAACAAAAACTACATCCAGTTTCCAGAAATACAAGAAGAAGCACACAATGCAAAGAAGTTAAATGAAAGTGAAGATGACCTGGACTTCTGGAACAAGCCCTCCTTATTTACTCCTGAATCTAGATTAGAAACTCTCAGACATATGGAAAAGCAACGGAAAGAACAAGAAAAACTCAGGTACCGTATGTTTTCCTGTCGTTGAGTGTAAGACGTACACTGAAGGACTGCATTTTCATGATTATGGATTACTACTAGCAGTTGTGTTAAGTCTTTCTTAACCATCACACATAGCTCTACTTTTAATTAAATATGGGTTTGTATTGAATTGTACTGGCTTATACTCATCAATATCAAAGTGCTTCTTTATAAAAAAAATGAATTATAACATTTGAGGTGAGGCTTTGTTTGTATGTCTTTGGCATTTTAACTATTATACAGATATCTAGGAATATCATGGCCTAGCTTAGAAATACTAGGTGAAGGGCTTATGAGATAGCTCAGCTGTCTAAGCACCTACTTAGGGAAGGGGAGGGACCAGGGTTTGATCCCTCATACTGCATGCCACCCTGGTCCTGGCCCTGGGCGCACTGAGCCAGCCACTGAGACTGGGCATGGAGGTGTACATCTGTAATCCCAGTGCTGGGGAGCCTGAAAACAGGAGGATCACTACAAGTTTGAGCTGTGTAGTGAGACCTTGTACCAAATACATAAAAACAAGACAGAAACTAGTTGTCAGGATGCAAACGAAAAGGTCATTGTGGGATGACTGAACTCCTTTGAGTTATATCTAGAAATTTCCAAAATGGAGAATTGAAATTCATTTAATTCAGCATTTTATTTTCACAGTATAAAACTCACTTGGACATTTAATAATATAATTTCATTTTTTTGAAGTATTTAGATATAATTTGATTTGTTGGCAGCTAAGATACTTAAGCTATTCTTTTAGAAGTGCTCTTCAAAAATAGGTTCTGTGTCATTCCATTTCATGTCATTGCCTAAGAGTAGCAGGCAAAATATATCACTTATAGGAATATTTGTCATTTTTCATCTTGAGAAACGTGATGAATTGGCCATGAAATACAGTGGTCTGCATGACAATGAGATGAACTATACATGGTATGTCTTCCTACAGTTATCCACCAAAAATAGGAAACTGAGAGTAGAAAGACCATTCAAATCGCTGATGATTTCATCAAGTATTTTTAATTTAGTTAGAAATGTAAAGAGGTACAACAACCAAGTAAAAGGTTATCTAAGACTTGTTCATGGACGTGGTGGCGACGTTTCCCTTGCTGTGGCAGGAGCACTGGCCCAGCATCAGGGTGTCTTCCAACCTGTCACTTGCTCGCTAAGTGATGCTTGCAAGTACGTAAGCTCTTTGCATGTTTCCTCGTCTGTTAAATAGGACTTATCATACCTATTTTTCCACTCTTACTATTTTGTTAAAAAACCAGATGAGCCAATAGATAGATCTTGCAGATGCACGAACCCTTTACAGTTCCTGCGTGTTGTGCTGGCCCTGCCCCTGGGGTGAGCTAAGCCCATGAACCTATAATTCCAGTGCTGGGGAGGCTCAGAACAGGGGGATTAGTACGAGACCAACCAAGCCACATATGTAGTGAGACCCTGTACCAAATACATAAAATGAAAACAACAAAAAAGCCATTTGAAATGAAAATTCCACATATGTATATTTCGAACACACACTATATGCTATATATATATGACATGCGTTCAGTCTGAAACCAGGGAAATTTTGTTTTCTTTTGTTGTGTTTTTGATCTCTGACGTGTGAATGTATAAGGCTGAGTTGGCTGGAGGTCTAAGTTGCTCTGTGTGGTGTGCTGGTGTCTGTTGACTCCATTGGATCCCAGAGAAGTTGGCCTGGGATTGGTCATGTTTAATAGCTGGGAGAATTCAGAGATAAGAGCAAGATTTTCATCATAGTTTGGCTGTTGTCCACCGTGAGTAGGTGAAGCCAGGCATTTCCATTTAATTGTTCTCAATTATTGAAATACAGCCTAAATGGAATAGAAGCCCCAGTTTAAGATGCAAAAGAACATAAATTTTCAAAATAATTGACACAAAATGTCTGTTAAAAGGACAGTAGAAATTTAAAGCAAACATTGCCTACAATTCCATAATTTAAACAAATTTGTCTCTCTTATCCATTAGATATTGGCCATATAAATCTATTAAAATTTTTAAAAATATTTAATTTATTTATTTACTTATTTATTTGGTACAGGGTCTCACTACACAGCTCAGACTCCTAGTGATCCTCCTGTCTCAGCCTCTCCAGTGCTGGGATTGCAGGCATGCGCCACCCTGCCCAGTTCTGGGGTTGGCACTGCATGCAGTACCAGGGATAGGGCCCGGGCCCTTGCACTTGTCAGGCAGGTGCTTAGACCCTGAGCTATCTGCCCAATCCCAGTGTATTCAAGCTTTTAAAACTATTTCTTCAGAATGTTTTACATAGAAATAATTGACTAAATTTTCATTTAAAATGTTATTTAATGATAATCTTTAAAATTTTTCTTTTCTCCCTGTTCTGCCCTTCAGTATCATGAGCTTTAATAGACTTAGGCTGGGGCCGGGGAGATGGCTCAGTGGAATAAGCGCTTCCCTGGCAAGCGCAAGGGCCTGAGTTCAATCCCCGGTTCTGAAAAAAAAAAAAAAAAAAAAAAAATAGGCTTAGGCTGATACTATCACACTTTTTTCCTCCTATACTCCTATAAATCATCCCTGCAAAGTAGAATTGGATTTAAAATTTTAAAAATGAGCTGGGGAGGTGACTTACTCATAGAAAGCTTAACTGGCCCACAGGTGTCCTGAGCTTAACCCAGCACTACGAAGATTGGTAGACAAAAGCAAAAGCATTTTTAAATAGCCATAAGATACTTGAGAGCATGAACTTGCCCTAGTAGGTCTGATCATGCCTTCATGATAGATATTCACAACAGCGTTCGTTTTTGCCACGACAAATGAATCTGTGAGAAATACGTTTTTATGTAGATCCTTATGTACTGGTATTTTATTTCTATAGAATAGATTTTAATTATACATTAAAATTATAATTTTAACTAAAGCAGAAACTAAGCACAATTGACAGTTATCTGGGTAAATCATGCAAAAATAGACACATTTAAATATTCATCAGTATTCATGGATACTTCATGAAACGAATTTTCTTTTCCCATCCAAATTATTTTGGTCACAGTTTTGCTTTACAGAGATTGATAAAACCATATAAAAATCTGGCTTGGTTAATCCCCAGTATAAAATGAAAGGAATTTACTTAAGTGAATTGCTTATGAATTCGCAAATGTTTGATGAATTCTTCTGGAACTTTCACAAAAATGTATTAATTGCATTTGTATTGGTTTTATTTCCTCCTCCCCCACTGCCTCTTGGTCCTACCCAAAACTTCAGTGAGAAGAGGAAGGAAGTGAAGCCACCGCGGACTTTGATCACTGAATCCGGAAGGGTCCTGAATGTCAATGAGGCCAAGTAGGTGGGCCTGGGAGGCCAGAGGAAGCCATGCTCCCGCGTGTGGACACACTTGCTCTGCAAAAGCTGTGCCTACTGCTCCTCATGAGTTTGAGGAGCCCAATAATAGTGTCATTTCGTGCATATTTAAAAGCCAAACATCTATTACATTTTCAAATGCATAATTTCCTTGGCATCTAGGAACTGGTCTTGACATATGGAATCATAGTTATTTATGTATTCCATGAAAGTTTGGACCATATACAATTTTGTGCCTGAAAATTGCCACTCCATTATTGTTGTGTTGATGAATTTTTAAAGCTCTGCCATGAACAAGATGGCTGAGAATACTGATGGATCTTCTTACATCGACATTATATTCTGGAATCTATCTTCCAAGCATTCAAAACCTAAGAAAGAAATTGATATAAATACCACAGTGAAGCTCATAAAAGAGTAAAGTTATTCAAACTGGAAGTCCTCAAGTTTACAATATATAATCTGCCCTATTTATTTGTCTTAAAGTTAAAAACTAAAAAGCTGCCAAAAAGGCCTTTCTGCCTTAACTAGAGACAAGCAAGCCTGTGAATTAAATTTCATTTGTTCACTTCCATCATTTCATTTGCTATGGTATTACCAAGATAATGACAAGGGCCCTGACTAGACTCATTCATGTTTCCAGTAATCATGAGTAGTAGACATGATTTCTCTTTCACAGGTGTAAAACCTGGGCCTGAAGTGACTTGCCCAAGCTCATGGGACTGTAAGGTGTTGTGTCTATCTTGTCCCTGCTCACCCAGTTCTAGTGACTTCCAGACAATTCCAGTCTCCCTCCTCAGCTACATATTTTCCCCATCCAGCAGACAGGATGCGGTAGCAGACCCAGGGCTTGGCCCTGTGGACTCAACAGTAAATGCAACAGGAGCTATCTTCATGGGGCTTAAAAATCCAGTAGTAATACTTTCAAGTCAACCTAAACAAAGACATAAGAGACTCCCAGAGCTCCATGCACCACTGCTCTCCCATCACACCCTTTCTGCCTCTGAAATCAATTAGCTTAGGAAGCTGCCACAAAGAATGAATTACTCTCCACCTCCCGACTGCCCAACCCCATATCCCAGTAACCCTCCTCGTTCATCTACCTCCTCCTGAATCTTTTTCCTGCATGGCTCTCATCTGGCTCACTGTGTCTACCCTCCCTGGCCCCTCACCTTCTTCTATGCTTTCTGGAGCGTGTGCTTACCCTGCAAACCCTGTGTCCCCAGCCCTCTCTCCCCATGGCACATGAAGCTGAGACATGAAGCTGAGACCTCTGCTTCCACAGCTATAGGGAGGTGCACCCATGGCTGCTTATAGAGCCTTTTTCCTCTTGCCCTAAACTTCCCTGGGTTTGTGAGGTGCAGGCCATTTTGGTACACTGGCGCTTCCCCTTCTCACTGCAGTTGTCAGGTTAGTCTAAGAAGTCCACAGTCCTCTGTCCTGTCCATTCACCTTGGCACCCAGACTTCTGTCCCTGCCTTTTCTCCCACTGTCAGCGGGTCACTTTCATCACATGTCACCAGAAGCCTAGACTGCTCAGCCCTCCCACCCCCTCACTTCCAGGCACCTATTTTCTACCTGAGCTTCATTCTGAGGCTTTCACTATCATTGTCTGTTCTATCTCATTCTTCTTCACTTCATTGAGCATCATCTCCTACATTTTTGGGGTCCCTCTACACCTCTGCAATCATTGGCACTGTTACATGTGAGTCAGTTCAACCTGCTGTTTTTGTTACTCTCCCCAGCCCTTCTGTCCTCACTATCTCTCAACCTGTCTCAGTATTATGTTCCTCACAGAAATCAGTCCAAGGCACTTCTTGAGCTCCTTAATCCTCCCCTCCTTCTGTCATTTTCACCTCACAAATCCCAACATTACTTAATCTAGAACACTACCCACTCTTGGGCCTCTACTCATAGTGGCTGGGAGGAACCCTTTGTCTCTTCCTGCTGGTCTTACTTAAAGTGCACGACCAAAAATCTTGAGTGGACTATTTTAGTTATTTTTCTGTCCTGTCTGGGACAAAATACCAAGTGCCCCAAATTAAGGAAGGTAGGGTGTATTTAGCTCACAGTTTGTGGAGACTTCATTCCATATTCCCTTTGGCTCTAACTCAGGGTGGCACATGGCAGAGGAGCAGCAGTTGAAGGTGGCCTGAGACCACCAAAGCAACAAAACCCAAAAGAGGAGGAGGAGGAGGAGGAGGAGGAGGAGGAGAAGGAGGAGGAGGAGGAGGAAGAGGAGGAAGAGGGAAGAGGAAGAGGGAGGAGAGAGAGAGACAGAGAGAGAGAGACAGAGACAGAGTCAGAGAGAGACAGAGACAGAGACAGAGACAGACAGACTCTTTCCCTGCCCCCAGGGCAAGTGTGGCACTCACATCCATAATCCCAGCATTGGAGTGTGAATCAGTTACAAACTCTAGAAGCTTCTCCATGACTGTGTGAGACCTTAGGAGGCATCTAGACACAAACCCGAGCATAGGCTCTGCTGGCTTTCTGCACTGTCTTGGATAGCGCATCCTCTCCCCTCCTGCTGGCTGCTCCCACACCTCTTCCTTTCCACGTATCCCTAGTACCACTTTATACTTCCACAGCCTAACTGCGGGCATTGTTTATTATTTTGTTGAGAAAGAGAAGCAGTGCGACATTGTTTCCTCCCAGCACTCATTGCCCAGCGTGTCTGCACTGGTGTCCCAGACTCTCCTCTCCTGCTCCAAGGGTGAGCTTGCTATTGTCATTTAGTGTCTGTTGGCACTTGTGTCTCTGCCCTTTCCTGGCAAGAAGATAGCTGTCAATGACCCCTGCCCTTCTGCCTCAGTTCTCTCTATTCTGCTGCACCAGTAACACTAGCATGCACATGCATTTCTGTAGTTTCTGAGTACCCTACAGCAGAACAAAGCCAAAGTCTCCTTTTCCCCAGTGTCCTGTCCAGATACCAACTAGACTATTTCTCTGCTCCTCTTTAGGCTATCCATGCTCAGTCTCCAATTTCTTACTTCACATTACTTCTTAAAGCCACTCTGGGAATTCTATCATCTAGAGACATCTTTGGTCATATTTCAATATCAGTGTTCAAAATTCAGCCCCTGTCTGGCTTGACCTAGTGAATTTGGTCCAACTGAACATTATGTTCCTTTCAAAGCACTGGTATATCTTTGCTTCTAATTTTTCCTTTCCTTCCTACTCCTTCTGCTATGGTTGACAGGATTCTTTCTGTTATTTCCTCTTATGTATTCTGGAGAAACTCTTCATTCTTAGAGGATCTCATCAAATCCCAGATGCAGCCTCTTCCTTGAGCTCAAGACTTGACCATTTTATGGGTTATATGACTTCATGATGTTGATATAAAACAGTAATCACAGCTGTATGGTTAAAGCAGAAGCCCTGATTTCTATCCAACCCCCTCTCTCTACCATCATGTCTTTGTATTCTACTGTTCTCTATCACAATAATAGACATCCTCTCAACTGCTGAGACAAACCTTTGGTTTACCCTTGATTCTTCTCTATCTCATTTTACTGGTGATCCCACTAGCTCTTCCTTCTGTACTACCAGATTCCATCCACTTCCCAGTAACTCCATCATTATAACCTTAGCACTTTCTCTTGTCTAGATGCTTGCTGTAGCTTGTTAAGTGGTCTCCATGGCTCATCCTTTGGCTTCCTACACTCTTTGCTCTACTGAATAAAAAGGAAGGCAGTCCCTCTCAGGGAACATTCCTAGAAAGCACTGAGCAGTACTTTCCCCCCCCCAAAAGTAAATCACAGGACTTCACTTAAGTACATGGAAAATGTGGTCTTTGTTCTAGATAGCTGTGTGAGTAGTTAAAATCAAGGGGCCAATTACCAAGGATAAAGAGTGAGAAAGCAAAAATGAAAAGGAAACTCTGCCAGAGAAAACCTCTCTACAATCTGCTTTTAGCAGTACATGAAGGGAGAGTTCAGTTTGGCTGTATTGGGGAATAAGCAATCAAAAGAAAGGGGATGGCACAGAAAAAGCTCTTGGGATGAATTCCAGAATGCATGAATCATTTGAGAATGTGAAGAAACCCTACAATGCTGGGTCTTTGGAGGCAATGACAGTGTCTGCCATAGCAGACCAACTGCCAGGAGCCACATCTGTAGCCAACGTTGCATTTTCTGATTTAGTTGATATACTTAAGGGTTAATCTATCAGCACAGTAAGTGAGGTGGCCAAAAGGAAGTGGACCAAATAATTCTGACCAGTATATCAGCAGGGTGGAATCTCTGCTTAGCGCTCAGCTTCATGGTACAGGTGAAAGACACAGAACTTGAAATCCTGCCTCTCCAGGCTTCCCTGGCCATGTCTCTGTTTGTGTTCATCTCCGTGAATCTCTAATTCTTCATCTATAAAGTGGAACTATAAAGTACTGTCAGCCTTAGTCTTCCCCAAGGCAATGGACATCTTAGCAATGAAAGGAGAAGGAAAAAGGTGGCCAAATAAAAGAATGAAGATAGCACTGTTTAAAAATGTTTTTTTCATTTTTTGTATTGGGTACAGGGTCCTACTACATAGCTTGGACTCATAGTGACCCTCCTGTTTTCAGCCTCCCAAGTGCTAAGATTACAGGGATGTGTTACCACACCCAGACTGGGACTCAGTTGCTGTCTCAGTGCACCCAGGGGCCAGGCAGCCTGGCATATGGGACCAGGGATTGAACCCTGGTCCCTGCGTTTGCCAAAGCAGCTGCTGAGTCTACTGAGCTATCTCGACAGCCCTTAAAAATTTTAAGAATAGGAATTGGCTAAAGAAGTGAAATATATTTAAATATCCATTAATTCCAGTGATTTGTTTGCTTTTTGGCAAACTCAAATGAAATGGAAAAGAAGACTTTAGCCACCAGATGTCTCCATCTCTGCACCAAAGCTCATTGCCTTCATGTACTTGACCTTAAGATTCGCATATGTAAACAATGCAAACATATGTAATTTATTGATATGTTGTAGGTGTTTGTTGACATTTTAAAATTAACATAGCTATTTTATTGTGCCACTCCCAAAATAAGTTTGTCATTGGAAATAATTATTAACACATTTATTTTTAATTTTGTGATCAGATAGTGTGTATAGTATCCTAAGGATGTGCTTTCCTCCCAAATGTATTATTTTTAGGCTTGACTTCTTTTTGAAAGATGATGAAAAACATAATCAGATCATCCTGGACCTAGCTGTCTATAGGTAAGAGATCGTATTGTTCGTTATTTGATGGTATTTCCATGAGTTTTATTTTTTTTTCCTCAGTCACAATCTTTTGAGTTTTGAAATAGTTGGAAATGGAATTTGCCTTGCCATGTGGTTAAATGAAGTGTCACTTTTTTGAAACAGAGAACCCACTGTGATTTTTAAAAGCATGAAAATGAAAGAAGACATTAATGAACTTGTAATACTATGGCTTTGCCCACTGGAATATGGGAAGCAGAGGTTAAATTATTTTCAGAGCTTTGCTGATTTCCAGTGTTGGTTTAGTAATGACCCTTCTCTGTTCTGCTATGTTACTTTTGAGGTCCTCTTTTTTTTCCAAAATGTTTTGACATAATAAGAGTACTCTGTCCCTTCTCCTATCCTAGCACCTGGGGTAAACCACTAGGCCTGTTGCTCACCAGGGACACTGGGGCCCTGCATCCTCTTGCCTCATAACTGGCTCTCATCCACACGCTATTCCAAGGGACAGGTGTCGCAAGATGCCCTGCTTGTCCCTTGCTCCCATACCAGACTATTGCTGCTCTCTTCTCCCTGAAATGCCATGGCCTTGGCATGCGACCCTCAGCCTGTGTGACCTTCCTTGCTCCTCCTGGAAGTTATCTGAAGACCCCAGTCTCTCCACTTCATCTTGTGATGCCTTAGCTTTAAGATGTGTCACAGTTTCCTTCCTTTTCATGTCTTACTGATACTCCATTGTGTGGATAGGCCACACACTGTTATCTTTTTTTCAACTGATGGGCATTTTTGTTTTCGCTGTTGGTGGTAGGGATGGAATTGCTCAGCCTGATCCCTTCCTTCACACATCAAGCTCTCTCCTGCTCCTTGTCTTTATTGGCTACCTGTAACCTATCCTGTCTTTAATGAGTTTCCAGCTCTCCCTGCTGTCCTCATGGCCTCTGCTCCTGTGGATCAACAATCAGTATTTATGTTGCTTTCAGTTAAATACTCATTACTTTGTTCTTTTTTTTCCTTTTTCCCAGAAGAAATCTGGGTCCTAACACTGGGAAATCCCATTACCACAAAGAACTGGCAACACACCTCAATGCTTTGTGTCTTCTACAAAAAATTTCAGACTAGATAGAGAGGACTTCCTGTAGAGTGTGGGTTGAGTTTATTGCAAAATGATAGACTGTCAGAGAAAGAAAATACTGTGCCTTCAAAGGTGGGCAAGTGCCCAGATAGGGGCTGCACCAAGCAAGATCTCAGCTTTCATTTGTAAGATTAACTGGGTCTTCCAAGGAATGTTGTCTTTCCTCTGTGGTCATTGTCCTTTTACATGGCAAATAAGCTATGTTGACCTTCTAGGTCCCTGTTTACTCCTAGGGTGGACGTTTTCCATTTAGTTTCTCTTGAGAACTTCGGGGGTTTCCAGTCCTTCACCCATAGCCTGGTCTTGGTATGGCCCCTGGATCTTACTGGAATACTCAAAGGATGTTCAGTTCTGTTGTGCTCAAGTTGACACTACGAGCTTGTATGGATTTTATCTAAAACTAGTGATTAAAAGAGCAAAGGAAAAAAGGAAAAGCAATAATATATCTGCTTTGCTTTTCAAATCCTTTCTTTAGCCTGCTAAAGTCTAATTTTCTACTTTTAATCCCTAATTTTGGAGTTTAGTGAATGTATAAAACTTTTTTCATTATCTCTAGTGGTTACTTCATTTTCAGACAGAAACTTTCCTCATCCCATTTTGTGGATTTTAAAGAGTGCTTATGTTTCTCCTGTCTGTGTAGTAAAACTTCTATTTCTGTCATTCTATCTGATGAATTATACTCAGTCTCCTTGTTGACTCATGAGATTGTACATGAAATGAAATTCCTCCGTTCATGTGTGCTTTCTGCCTTTCTTGAACAGATATCCATAGAATACCTAGGAGTGCTGGGCGTGGGAGAGTGTAATGAGCACACTCCAGTTGTACTCGTGGCTCTCCTGTAGCCTACGGCCCACTGAGGGTGTAGAGGGAAAACGGATGAAGAGCAAGTAGCCAGGCCTCTAAGCAGGCAGCACAAAGGGTGCTGTAGAGCACAGAGACAGGGTCGGGGTGCAGAATGATAGCTTGTGCCCCTAGCGGTGGAGGTTGGGGGTGCAGAATGATAGCTTGTGCCCCTAGCGGTGGAGGTTGGGGGT